GGTTTCTTGTTCTGCTGCTTGTTTGTTTTGCTGCTTTGCTTTAATGGAAATCTCTTTAACCAAAGAAAAAGGAACCAATCTCAATAAGAGTACCAATCTCAAACCTTATGTTGTGCAGATAAAAAAATTCTTTATTAATAAAAGTCTATTACTTTTGTTGTGCAGATGATGATCACATGACTATTGAATTTAGATACGGTGGACATTTTGTGCACACTCCAAGAACCCATTATATAAATGGTATGGTGACTTATTTTGATAATGTAGATGTTGATAGGTTGTCTACATTAGAAATTAAAGACATGATACAAGAGTTGGGTGTTCAAAACTCCAAATATTTTTATTACACACTTCCAGGCCATGGACCAGCAGATGGTCTTTATGCATTGGAGAAAGATGAACACATTGTAGGTTTTGTGAGCTCAATACCTAGGAATAGGCAAATGACTGTCTATGTAAAGCATGATAGTGATGTTCATGAGGTTATTGGTGACTTAACCCTACCACCAATCTCACAAGCTAATATAGATTATGGAGAATCATTAAATGAAATCCATGATGACCTGTTTAGTCAAGTTGATGAAAATAGGTATGGTTCATATAGTCTCAGCAATGATCACTTATTTCAAGAAGAGCGAAGTGCTTTGTATCATGGTGAGCCTCAAGATTTTTATGATGTATCGATACATACTAATGAGTATGAATATGATGGTGATGGTGATGATAAAACAAAAGGTTCCAATTATGAGGAAAGTGATAATCATGGTAATAATTATGATTTTGAATTTTATGATGAGGACAATGATGCCATGTTGGATGATGATAATTTCTATGATGATGCAGTGGATACACTAGAGACTTTCATCGAATGTGGTAAGAAACAAAAAAACAATTGGGAGGCAGATATACAGGTTGAGGATATGAACATGGATGAAAAGCAATATAATTCAGATGAGTTACATTCAGCATCAAACTCTGATGAAAAAGGAACTACTCGTAGGTACAAAGAGTTTAATATTGATACTGATATGGACAACCCACAATTCGATGTTGGGATGAAATTTTCAAGTAAAAAGATCTTGAAACAGGCTATACAAATTTATGGAGCTTTAAGGTCATATGAATGCAAGGTAGTGAAAAATGATAAGTTCAGGTTGTCTGCTAAGTGCAAGGAAGGTTGTAAGTGGAGGTTGTATGCTTCTTTGATGCAGGGAGAAAACACTTATCAAATTAAGAGCTACACTCCTAAGCATTCATGTTCCAAAGGTTTCCATAACAAAAACATCACTTCAACTTTCCTTTCTCAAAGGTATATGAGTAGGATTAAAGATGATCCTAAGATTAAAAAGACAACGCTTCAATTAGAGGTTCATAGAGAATTGGGATATGAAGTGTCTACATATCAATGTTATAAAGCTAAGAGGAAGGCTCAAACTTTGATTGAGGGAACTTATGCTCAACAAATACGAAAAGTTATGGGAGTATTGTGAAGAGATTAGACAAACTAATAACGGCAGCAGTATGTTGATGAAGGTGGATCCTCCTCATTTTCAAAGGCTTTATGTATGTTTGGACGCATGCAAAAAGGGGTTTATAGCAGGCTGTAGACCTTTAATAGGTGTTGACGCTTGTCACCTAAAGGGAACATTTCAAGGTAGATATTTTTAGTATTTTTATTTGACATTAACTTATGTGGATGTGATATTAATTTAATACATATTTATATATATATATAATATATATTTATTTCTTTACATAGTAATTCAATATAATGGCAGGGCAATTACTTGTAGCCGTGGGTATTAATGCAAATGAATATGTACCCCATTGCTTATGCGATTGCTGAGTTTGAAAGTAAAGACTCTTGGTGTTGGTTTCTCCAACTTTTAATTGAGGATCTTGGTCCAGTTAGTGAATATGGTTGGACTTTCATTTCATATCAACAAAAGGTAAGTAATTGCTTCCATTGCAATTGGTTTTTACTTTATGTTGTGGCAATGGATTGTTCCAAGTGGGGGACACATTAGTTGATCAACATTCTGTGAATTTGTGGACCAGAACTTGTAGTTGCAGGAGGTGGGAGCTCAATGGAATACCCTACATGCATGCAGTTTCTGCTATATTCCATAATAGGCAAGAAGCTGAACAATTTGTGGATAAATTACACACCAGAGGCTTATTTGAGAGCTTATTCTCCAGTCATACAACCAATCAAGAGTATGAAGTATTGGCCAACAGTTAACCAAACACCTGTCCTACCACCAATTGTAAAGAAGCAACCTGGGAGGCCTAAAAAAAGGAGAATAATAAAGGATTCTGAAATGGAAAAGAATAAGGATCCTACCAAATTGGGTAAGAAGGGGGGGGGGGGGGGTACTAAAACATGTACAAAGTGTTGGGAAAGAGGCTACAATAGAACAACATGCAAAAATCAACCTCGAGAAGCTCCAAGTGGTGTTTATGTTGACAAAAAGTGGGCTTATAAATTTCAAGATGGCAGCCATCGTGGGGGTATGAGGAACAATGAAATAGACAGTAGCAGTGGAAGTTTTGGAGAAAACCAAACTCCTCCAACTCAGAGCTCTAATGTACAACAAAGTCGTGGTGGATTCTTTGTGGCGCAAGGGGATGTAACTGGAGAGCCATCAAGACATGGTCTTAAGAAGAATACAAGACCACCTAAATTGCCAATAAGAAATAATATATTTGTTACTTTTTAAAATAATTATTATTATTTCTAATTTTCATGTTTTAATGTTTCTTTCTGTGTTGTTTTTACTTGTGGTAGTTGAAGAAAGATACAAAAACACATAAGGTAACAGTGAACAAATCCCAGCCTAGATACTTTAATCCTGTCACTGTAAGATTTCTGTTACACTTCATGCTTCATTTTATTAAAACAACTGCCAACCTATGCATATATTCTAATAGTTGCTTATTGCAGTTTCATCCACCTCAAGAAATTGTACAACCAACCATCACCACGGGTTTTAGAGGGGGTACCTTCATTACACCAAATGCGCCAAGGATCCCAATTGCAAGTCAAATATCAACAAGGCCAGTTGTAACCCCTTCTTTGCAAGCCAGGACTCCGATGCTACAAACAGCCCCAAAGTCTAATATGTCCAGGCCTAGAGGGGTCACTTTCATCACACCAAATCTGACAAGTACAATTACAGTCCCAACTTCTTTGCAAGCTAGGTCTCTAATGCCACAAGCAGCCTCATACTCCCATATGTCTAGGCCTAGCATGCACACCACACCAAAAAATTCATACTCCCTAAAGTTCATTTCGAACTTCAAAGCCATGGAAACCACTTGGCAAAGTTGCTTGTACAAAAAAAAGCAACTACAAGTTCACAAAAAAAGCATATTTGATTCTAGTTTGAGTTGTTTTGGTATTTTTGGGCAGTTGAAACTAAAGTTATTTTGTGAAGAGAAGACCATGTAGTACTCGTCTTTGGTGCAGATTCAATTTTATTTTGTTAGTTTGGAATTAAGGCATGGAATTGCTTTTTGGTACATATACATTGAAACTCAAACTAGTTTTTTGTGATCTTGATGTAGTTGTCAATAATGGATTTGCTTTTTCTTTGGTACTGATGGGGAACTTGGGAAGAACGGATTTTCTTGTTAAGAATGAATTTGCTTTTTCTTTGATTCTATTAAAGTTGTTTCTGTAACAAATTAAGTACCTCACACAATACCAAATACCAGTCATCGCTGTCATATAAACAGAGCACTCTTGACAAGCCAAGCTAATCCAAGGATGACCTTTAATGCCACCAATCCTGTTAGTTTTTGTACAGTGGACGTTTCATGCAACTTTTTTATCTTTTCTAAACTTTACAAACTAATAAGTGCCAACAAACAATTTTGACACATATGTAAAAATGCATTAGATCCAATATACCCAAGTCACGAGAATTGTGCTTGAAATATATCTTGGCATAAATTCACCTCTTTGAAACCTTTGCTAAACAGAAAGCTTGGTGGCTATCATCTCGTAAAGTCCACGCTTGGTGGACCCCGGTTTTGGTTTTGAGATCTCTACATTCCTTCTATTTTTTTCTTTCTTTTTTTGGGTACAATACGGGGCCAAACACCCAAAACCAAACAAACTACATAGGAATCAACCTTGAATTAGGGATACTGCTAGCATCAGCAGCAAGAACATTATTAAGGAAGAAAGGTTCCATATCCAAAACATGAAGGCCCAAAGGGAAGTCATAGCTCTTGGCAGCTAAGGCATCAACAGCCTTATTTTGTTCACGTATGGTAAACATGATAGTGGGAGCAAACCCAAACACCATGGAACTGCAATTTACAGCAATCACCATGAGAGAGAGAGAGAGAGAGAGAGAGAGAGATCTCTAGATTCGATTTGTCTCCTTGCTCTCTTTATGCAGACTCACGTAAACTGGTTGATATTCAAGGGAACTAAGAAAATTTGAAAACCCCCATTCTCATGAATGCCAAGGAAAAGAGTCGCGAGCGTTTCAGCAATTGAGTTTGTGTTAAAATACCTTTATGCCCACTCACGTGCTATGCACATGTCTATTTTAACGTCTATTTGACAGATTGTCCTACATTGGCTAACAGATGTAAACACAGGGACTAAATTAGCCAAATTAAAAATACAGGGATTAGATTGGCCGAATGGGTAAACCACAAGGACCATTTTGACATTTAAGCCAAAAATCAATTAATAATGAGTGAACAGCGTGCATATGTTAGCTGTTTATTTGTTTTTTCTTTTGTTGGCATTACCTGTTTAACCAATATTATATGTGGAGTAATCGATTCGGGTAACTTATTATATGTTAGAAAGTGGACTTACCCATCACAGCACATGGAGTACACATCCTCTCACATGCATGGGAGAATGACCAACAATTGTTTAATCAACGATTGTCCCAACCACTGGTCACGCTTAACATGGATTTCTAATTATTAATTGATAATCTCTCTCCCTAGGGCCGAGATTTTGTGTTTCATCTGGTTGATTGCTTCCCAGAATTAATTCTAGATGTGTCGTTTTGATTAAGCTAGCATATACCAAAATAAGGCCATTATGGCGTCAGTTTCAGCAGACCTCTCCATTGGCAAATTTGTAGCAATTCTCGAGAGTGAAGCAGCCTCCATAGCCGGTGTTGGTGGTCAAGTTGATAAGATTAAGCGGGAGCTGGAATTCATGAAGGCCTTGTTAGCGGATGCTGATGAGGGCAACAAAGCACACACACAAGTAGAGGAAGTGTGGATCAGAAGCGTTCGAGACTTGGCCAATGATGTTGAAAACATCATTGATGAATTCATGTATCACGTGTACGAGCATCAAATTGGCGGTCGATTTGCCCGGTGGATCCACAAAACCATTCAGTTTCCGAAGCACCTTTGGTATAAGCGTAAAATAGCCAACAAGATACAGAAAATCGTGATGGCAATTAGAGGCTTTACAGAGCGAAATCAGAGATATGGTGGTGGTGCAGCTGTAGAAGGAAAAAGTACTTCTTCTGAGGATATTCGCAGATGGGTGCAGAATCAAGCGGAGTCTTCTCTTTATCATAAGGAGGATGAACTCGTCGGGATTGAAGGTGATAAGAACTTGTTAATGGGATGGCTGATGAACAAAGAGCAACGCCAAACTGTTGCGTCTGTGGTCGGGATGGGAGGATCGGGGAAGACAACTCTAGTTGCAAGGACCTTCAAAGATGAAATTGTAAAGAGGCATTTCGAATGCTATGCGTGGATTACTGTTTCCCAGTCTTATGTGATTGAAGACTTACTTAGAAGATTGATCAAAGAATTCCACAAAG